GTGTGTGTGTGTGTGTGTGTATGTGCATTGATATATATCTTTATGTAAATTTGTAGACTGCATTTTGTATATACGTAGGATTCTCATTGCAGAAAACCTATGCTAAAAAAGTGATATAAAACGGAATCACTACTTACACAACGCAAATAGCATCTTGACGTTAGATTAATGTATTGGATTTACTATATATATTATTTGAAAAATGTTGAGCTATAAGTAATCTAGAGGTAGTTGACGAAAGATTCTACTTTTCGTCCCTCACATCTCCGGTACTAGGAGATATTCGCATGGTCCCCGCCATTAGATTCGTCGAATCTGCTGACTCTCTAACACGATCATTCGATATCCCTTTTGAAGCCTACATATCCGCATACATTGACTCCACCTTTGGGCCTGACACGCCCTCTACAATTGACTGTTCAACAGAATTGTGCTCTAGAGTATTTCGATCCTGGGGAATACTACTATTCATCAATTTGGAATCCCCTTTGTAGAAAAATAGATAATATGCATACATGGCCAGGAAGGTAGCTACAAACACGCCTACATACACCCCAAACGCAATGTAGAGCCAATCATCAGCGAAGGCCTCGTCTAGGCCAAGATAAACGTTTACTATAGCCATCGAAACGGCACCGTAGCCTAGTGCTCTGTGCAGAACCTCCCATAATATACGCAGGGTGGACCGCTTCTCGCCATTCGCTCTGATATGGGGCCGGATGAATGCGTTCAAAGGCTGCAGCCACATGATAATCATCACAGCCAGCCCCAGCTTCTGATGCGTATTGACAAAGTCCTCCGTGGAGAGCCAGAACGCAACAACAAACGCCGCCGTGGCCAACAGAATAGCTAGTGTATTGAACAAACGGTGGGAATGAAACCACCACATACTCTTGTTTGGGCCCAGCACTTGGGTGTATGCGGGCCTCAAGGCAGACGCACTGATCGCCAGCGGCACAAAGAGCATCCACGCCAGGGCCATCATGATGCCGTGCGAGTGCAGCAGAGCCGTATCAAACCCGCCGGAGGTCACCTGCCCAACACATGTACTGAGATTGATGGTGTACGATCCCTGGTCTTTCGGACTGTGCTGTGCGATATCGCCGGAACCTCGAGCCCATATGATGTACGTCTCCCCACCGTCTTCCAAGCCCGGTACGAAGCTCACAGGCACACTGAATGTTATGATAGTGCCCGTAGCCCCCGCGTTCGAACTATCCGCACTCGCAATAGAAGCCGAGCCATCAGCCACCACCTCGTTACTGGTCGTGGGCTGTACACCATTCTGCGATTGTGCCAAGAGTGCATACGACACTACACTCTGGTCTGACATTTGACCGACTACCGCATTAGCGGGTACCATCTCGCCGACAGTCTCGCCAAAGCCTATACCCAGCCACCCAACAGAACTCTCCGATACTGCCTGTACATTGAGCGTCCCAGCATTCGAGTCCAGTGTCCACGCGAATGTGACTGACAGGCCATTCCCAGCGGACGCCATGGTGATCTGACTGTCGTACACACTACCACTAGGTGCGGTACAATCTGAGCTATTTATAGCGCTGCCCGCACTTGGGTCTGCTATTGGCTCCTCTGTGGTAGGTATATTTACCGTGGAGGGCGCTTCCGTGCCTGCGCTACTCAGTGTCACGGCCTGTTCGCCTCTCCCATCGTGGTACGCAATGGTGTCACCTTCGCCGTATGCCCATATTAGGTTGTTGGCGCTGGCCGTGTCGGCGACGAGGTTGGTTGTACCGAACTGCAACGGTATGGTGAACGACAGCACAGTGGAGGCCGCATCCGCATCTGTGGCAAAATTTCCGTCCGAGACACCATTCACATCCGACTGTACAACACCCGCCTCTCGCTTGGTCGTCAAATTGTACTGTGATACGGTACTGGTACCTTCCACGCCCGTCTGGCCTTGCCTGCGTCTCGAAACCGAGCCACTCTCGGCCGGCCCTGCTTGTCCCACCACGGCAGTGGATCCCACCATACCCCCCGGCCCAAAGCCTATGGCCAGCCAGCCGACTACCTGTGGCAGAGTGGCCGTACCCGTAAGGTGCGTGTCGTTGATTGTGTAGTCGAACAAAGGGCCCCCGTTGTCCAGTACAATTCTGTTGGTGCCTGCGGGACTATCTGTTTGGGCCGGGACGGCTGTGGACGTCAAGGTGTCAGATAGACTCGATTCGGCCGTGCTTGAAGCCGTGTTTGAAACTGCGGTATCATCCGTTGCCGTGCTCAAAGTTAGCACGACCGTGTTCTCGTCTCGTGCATCGTGGTACGAGATACTCTCGGCTCCACCGTATGCCCATATAATGTTGTTTTCAACTCCGGCCTTTATACCCACCTCCCCGAACGTCACAGGTATGGTAAATGTCAGGGCCGATGAGTCATCGCCCGGTGCGAAGACACCATCGGTGACACTATTGGTATCCGTCGGTAGTATGCCGCTGTTGCTTTTACTTGTTAGCGCATACTCCTGTACCAGACCGTTAGCTGATACTTGCCCTATGACCGCATTGGACCCCACCATTCCTCCCGGCCCAAACCCAATACCCAACCAGCCGACATTCTTGGACACTGTAGCTCTACCTCTCAGGTTATCTGAGGTCAGCGTGTAGTCCAACACAACGTCACCCCCGGCCAGATTGACCGTGTTGTCGTATGAATCTTGCGGCGTTGCAGCGTCTGTACTTTGAGGTGTTGTGATATCTGTCTGGTATTGTGCAGTATCAGATGTTGGCAACTGACGAACAGTGATGGTCGTACCTTGTCCGTCTTCGTTAACTGAGGTCCACGGACCAAAATTGCACCTGCAATTCAGGCCCTCGAAATCAGGTCCCACCCCTGTATATGATTACAATTAAAGTCTGTTTATTGTTAGAACGGTACTTTGACTCTATGTATGTTAGCAAATCATCAAGATACGTGTATGATTGTATGGATGGAAAAGTGTTAAGAGTTGCCCATGCCAGAGAAGAATAGCACTGCTTACCACAATTGCTTTGACTTATTTTTGGTACGACAAGTGTGTGAGAAATATTGGGTTAGAGCTGTAGACGACGAATGGATGCTTGAGTTAAAGGCAGTAAACGTAGGAATAGATTATTTTATTATAAAAGTGTATGTAGATAGAACCAATAATTGTCAACTTCGTAGGAATAGATTATTATGGTATAAAAGTATATGTAAATACATCCAATAATTATCAACTAAAGGTATGTGTGATGTGCATATAGAATATGACATGTACATAAAGTAGAAGTAGAAGCAGCCTTCATTTGATGATAAAGAGCTCAATCCAAATAAATGCCCACGTTTTGAACCTATTCTTGCGTAGATACTTATTAATAATCGATTATATACTGTACTCAAAAACAAGAAAAATGTACCAAAAACTAAAACAAGATGGCGTGGTCGTGCACGACTTCTGCCTCCAGCTTATCAGACAATATACAAACTACCACACAAAAGTGAACTGAACAGGAAGATGTTGCAATATTTGGGCATTTACTCTATATATAAAATAATTGTTGAGTACTTTTAAGCTATTTGTGTGTGTATGTGTGTGTGTGTGTGTGTGTGTGTGTATGTACGTGGGTGGATGGTTGTATATATGCGCGTGTCTGTGTCTGGATGTGTGTGTACGTGTGTGAATGTTCATATGTATGAGCATGTGTGCGTATGAGTGTGTATGTATGTGTATGTATGTGTATGTACGTATGCGTATATGTATATATTAGTATATATATATATATATATATATATATATGGTATGTATGTGTATCTATATAGATGTATCTATATTTATGTATGTGTATGTATGTATGTATGTATGTATGTGTATGATGTGTATGTATGTATGTATGTATTTATGTATGTATGTATGTATGTTCGTATGTATGTATGTATGTATGTATATCGTATGTAAGTATGTATATATGTATGTATGTACGCTTGAATATATGTATGTATGTCCATGGATCTATGAATCTATGTATGTATGTATGTAAGTATATATGTATGCATCATTGTAGGTATGTATGTATGGATGGATGGATGTATGTATGTATGTATGGATGTATGTATGCATGTATGTATGGATATATATTAGTATGTAAGTATGTATGTGTGTGAGTATATATGTATATATGTATGTTATATATGTGTTTGTATGTATGTATGTATACATTCATGTATGCTATT